CACATTGAGCTATCTGCTGTGTTCAGCACAGGAATCAAACCCCGAATTTAAGCATTGTAACTTTGTGAACTTACCACCGTCCCATCGGGGTACAACCCAGTAATGAATATAGCTAATACTTATAATGATTAGATGCATTGATTCATCAATTGAGTACCTTCACTGTTATAGACTTTTTCGTCTGTAATCCCAATAATATCGCGTGAGGTTCGGGCAGCTTTCTCAGAGTTACGTTTCTTTATTGTTTTCTCAGACTTGTATGTTTCTTTATTGTATTCTCAGACCTTTATGTTTCTACATTGCATTACTCAGTTTTGTATTTTTTATTGCTTTCTCAGACTTCTGTATATGCGTTCTCATTTTTTTTAATATTTCTTTTTTTTTCTCTAGAGTTCTACGCGTCTTTATTGTTTTAGATTCTTGTCTTACAGGGCAGTTAATATTAACATCTTATCAATGCGCATGAGTGGTGATAAGCAAGAAGACCGAATTTTAACACTGTATTATACATAGAGCAATGTTTCAAATGTCTTTCTTCAGTTATTCTTAAACGTGTAGCAAAACTCATAAAATAAAAATAAAAATCAGGGAAACGCAACGTCTTATGTTTATTATCGCATGTATTTCAATGAGAATACCATGGGTGCAGTGACACCAGTACAATGTATACAAAGAAAAAAGTGATCGCAAGAAAATTCTATAACATTCGTTAATTCTACATTATGGTGGCTTAAAAGAAACAAAAATATGCTAAGTAAAATTAGTTTTTAACAATTTCACGTACGCTGTTTATCTGCCGCATTTATTTATTTTTTATTCGAAAATCAAACCTCTAATCCTATTGGCACGTTCCCTATTAAACCTTTAACCTTAGTGATGTCTTCTGTAAATCTGGAAGTAATATGCTTTCTTAAACATTCATAGATATAGGAATGCTAATCTTTTGTATCTATTTTATTTCGAAATCAAACCATAATCCCATTGGTGCTTTCCTTATTAAGCATCTAATCCCATTGGTGCTTTCCTTATTAAGCATCTAAACCTATTGATGCCTTGCTTATTAAACATCTAATCTCATTGGTGCTTTCATGATTAAGCATCTAATCCCATAAGCATCTAAACCTATTGATGCCTTGCTTATTAAACATCTAATCTCATTGGTGCTTTCCTTATTAAGCATCTAAACCTATTGATGCCTTGCTTATTAAACATCTAATCTCATTGGTGCTTTCATGATTAAGCATCTAATCCCATTGGTGCCATCCTGATTAATCATCTAATCCTATTGGTGTCTTGTTTATTAAACATCTAATCCCATTGGTGCTATCCTGATTAAGCATCTAATCCTATTGATTCCTTCCTGTTTTAAACACTTAATCTTAATGGTGTCTGATTCACAAACTCCTCCATGATCTTGGAAGTGTTCAGCAGTGAGAATACTATCTGGATAAAATGGTTTTCGTGGAGAAGCTATGTTTTTCATTTGAGTTCTATGCTTTCTCTTGAATTTCTCGTGTCAGATCTTTGCATGCGTTAGCAATACACTTGAAAGGACGCTGGACATGGGTAGTTAAAAAATACATTAACATACGTTCGGGAATTTACGAAGAGTTATTAATTTGTTTTGCCACCAAATTTTCAACTACATTAAACTTTGTTCTCAGGTACGTTTCATGTTTGATATACATAAACAAGTCGTTGCAAATTATCTATTTTTCCACAATCATTTTTCTTGTTGCTAGTTTCGTGGTTTATATTTGTCTGCTGTGTCCAATTTGTCATCCAAAGAAATACAGACCTTAAGAAATTAAATAATTTAACATGTCTGAGATGTATTAAAAAACAAACAACAACAATACGATGTGAGATGTTCCTTTTTTTATTTCAAGACTCATATGTTCTTCGCAACTAAAAAAAAACTTGGTGAAAATATGACTTGGGTACCACACTCCTAAGTGTGCAAAAGCAGGTAAAACTTGCATACTTTATATACATATATATATATATTCATCCATCCTGCTACTTATGTGTGTGTCTATGTTCTATTGTGTCTGTATATTTTTAAGGTACATTAAAATGTATAAAAAAAGTGAAGGATAAATTCACTGTGGGCTCACTGTCAGCTGTTCCGTTTCGCGACTTTTTTTTTAAATTGTGGCGAAATATGAAGCGGGTGATAACTTGATAATATTTCGTTATTAAAATATCATATTTATTTGTTTTTTTAATTTCGCGCAAAGCTACACGAGGGTTATCTGCGTTAGCCGTCCCTAATTTAGCAGTGTAAGACTAGAGAGAAGGCAGCTAGTCATTACCACCCACCGCCAACTCTTGGGCTACTCTTTTACCAACGAATAGTGGGATTGACCGTCACATTATAACGCCCCCACGGCTGAAAGGGCAAGTATGTTTGGTGGGACGGGGATTCGAACCCGCGACCCTCAAATTATGAATCGACTGCCTTAACCACCTGGCCATGCCGGGCTCATATTTATTACTTTTCTTTTTTATAACGATGTGAATTAGATCTTTATAATAAATACACTATTCTCAAAAAAAATATATTTTCGTTCTATATTTTATTGTGGGGTAAATTTAGATGTTCCTATTTTTGAACATTAAAATTATTTTGATAAAACAAAATGTTATTTTATCCATGTTTTAGTAATTAGTTTTGAGTCTTTTTAGAAATAATAAACCTGTAATAAAATTGGTTCTGAAAGCAGTTCTGTCTTAGTTTGGTAATTAATGGATTACCTTAGAAATTATACTTGTACAAATTTATACTAGTAAAGTGTCTCTTCTCTTGTCCTCTGAGGGGTCAGCGGTAAGTTTACGAACTTACAATGCTAAAATCCGGTGTTCGATTCCCCGCGGTAAACACAGCAGATAGCCTAATGTGGCTTTACTCTCAAACAAACATCTCACAAACGACGGCTTATCTTTTCGTTCATATTCCACGAAAAACTCAAAAACAAGGGGCTAAGAATACTTTTTATTTAAAACTTACAACAATTGGAGGCTTAGAATTCCAATCATTCATATATATATATATATTTATTTATTATTTATATGAAAATATCATAGATAAATATTTTATCCTCTTTTAAGTATTTTGAACCACAGATTTAGCTTGTCAAATTTTCTTAATTATCTTAACATATTTTACTTCTCTATATATCTAGAACCACCCCGGAATAAGCTGACTTGGGTGCATGTGTAGCAACGTCTTAAAAGCTAGTTGATTGAAACATTATAACTGGAGGGTTTTCGATATCATTGAAAAGCCATTGTCTAGAAAATCTTTCATTCACTTCTTCGTCGCCAGGTCAACTTTAGTCGCTTCAGTCAGAACTCTTCCTTTCCGTCTTCTGGAAGATAAAAAATAATTCTCTGTTAATCAAAATATGATAATAACGTTGGAAATAAATACTTATTTTAATCAACGTTTCGAATTTGTCACTTTTTCAGGGCTAGAGCGTAAAAGTCGTTTTTTTTCTAACTTAATAATTAATTTGATTGAAGGTTGATGGTTTTGTTGCTGAATAATTATAATACATGGAGGGTTGGAAAATTATATATTAAGATATATTCGTTTCATTAAATTCAAGTTGGACAAAGTACGACGAAGTTTACCCTATTTTAAGCAACCAAATTTTGTTTGAGTTTAATATTTGTTGTAAGAAGCATATTAGATTCAATACGTACTCTGTATTACTGACGTCTTCTTCTTGAGATCTGTATACAACAAAATGCGTCTTTCAACGACTTTCTTCTCTCGTCCGTAGACAATCTTTACAAGAAGCGACGAAGATGCCAACATATCTTACACTTAGGATGTTGTCGTTAACCGCGAAGTTCAAGAAGAACTATCTTTATTTAGATAATCAATGATCAATTAGTTTAATTCCACACCTCGAAGACTCCGAAGCTATTTCGTATTTTATAAATTGATTATATAAAAAAAAACAGGAAAAAGATCTTAAAAAATATTTATTTTTAAGAAATACTGAAAGATGGCCTAGGATCCGTTCTAGCGCTTCTTTTCCTCGGCTTTTTGACCTTGTTTCTTTTAATTTTGAGAATTTGATTGAACTAAGTTGTTAAATTTTATTTGTTTCTTTTTAAAGCGAAGCCATACTGAGCTATCTGCTGTGTCCAACGCGGGGAATCAACCTCGGATTTTAGCGTTGTAAGTCAGTAGACTTAATGCTGTCCCACTGGGGGGCGTTAAGTTTTAGAACCAGAAATAGTTGAAACCATTCTTACCAGAAACTTTCGCCGAGAATTCGGGCTGTAAGCAAAACGAAAAAATAAAATAAATATAAATATATATAGTACACTATCTCACAAACTCAACGACAAACATTTAGACGCATATTTAATTATTTGATTTATTCTAATTTTCAATTTTATAATTGATAGATAATCAGTCATTATCTAATTTCCAAACTATTTTACTTATGTTTGGTATCTTTTTGGTGTAATCAAACATCTATCTATCTGTCTGTCTATTTTTTAATTTTATCTCTGTATCTATCTATCGGGCCGAGCGCGGCCTAGTGACTAGCGTGCCGGTGGAGCTGAAGTTCCGTGATTCGTGTCTCGATACTGCCGGGAAGTGTATCGCGTTTCGTACTTTGGGACCATGGATGCGTTATGTGAGTGACAGTCAAATCGTACTATTCGATCAGTCAAAAGAAGCCCAAGAGTTGGCGGTGGGTGACGTAGACTAGCTGTCTTTCCCCTTAGTTTATTATTTCTATATTAGCAAGGGTTAACTTTGCGTGAAATCCAATAATAAACCCAACAAACGATGGTATTTTGAACTTTTTTTTTTGGCCTTCATAAAAATTGTTTGTTTCCTTGTTTTTAGTTCTCATTTTAAATTTTATAGCTAACAAGTTACCCTAGTTTGAACTAAGTAACAGTTTGACTCCTGGTAAACTCACCTTTTTGTTTTATTGAAGCAGTAAATGAGCAAGGGGGAACCTTAAGTATTACCAGCCCTCGTGAAAAACACGATCTACCTGAAGCGAGTATCTTGTAACGTTGGCAACGTTAGGAGAACTTCGGTGATGTTGACTTTCATAGCAGTCGGTGCTGTGTAATTCGTGGTTATCAGATCCGAGCAGAATAACTGCTGGTGCTGGATCGTAACAGAATGGTCTAGTTGATTGTAAATTTTCAAATTCCAAATCTCCGTTGGCTAACTTAACTTCAAACCCAGGGGTTTCATAGGCGGCCAGTATTTCGGAGTTTAGGCTAGAACAAGGAGAACTTGTCAAGTTTCCGTGATCTTTGGAGCAGGTGAAGTTTGTTTCTGTGTCTGGAAAGTAGGCTGCGTCAGAAAGTTGAAAGTATCTGTGTTCTTCTTCGTGTTTTGTGTCATCATTCTGAGACAGGAGTCTCTGTAACTGTCTGATGTATTCCACTGCCGATCTTAGCGTTTCAACTTTGCTCATTTTCTTATTCTTGGTATTGTTGGGCACGTGTTGCCGAAGATTCGCAAATCCCAGGTTTACCAGTCTCACTCGATTCCTCTCTCGCTGGTTTCTTCTGGCTACAGTGGCTGGTTTGGAAGGCAAAGAGTAGCTCAACGCGTCGAGAGAAACCTTTTGCGAACTTTGTAATGTCTCTGATTGCATTTCGACTATCGATATGTTGTTGTTTAACACTTCTTTTGGTGGGAATGGGTCTCGAATCTGTTTGGGAAGCCTATTCATACTACAGTTTAAAAGTTATCAACCAACTGTTTCGATCTTCCTCGGTAACCACCTTAATTCCTTTCCTTCACTATTCTTGCGCTATAAACAGCAACAGGTGGTGGGTGCTCCTGTCGTATTTACCGTACAACTGCACGTGTTTTTGAACACTTCTCTTTACCATATACGTATTCAAGCTCGCGCTGAGTCCTCCCGATTGCAAGCAGTTGCAGTGGAGTGTGTCTGTCCTCACAAAGGTCCTTCCTCTTAAAAACCCGATCTTCATGAATAACAGGCTCCACCTCTAGACGTCTTCTATTGTGTTATCGCCAGCCTCATAGTTGACTTCGCGAGCCAGACACGTGGCTGAGGGCTTCTGCATCAAACAGCATGCAAATGCCTACAGGGCTTGAAGAAGAATCGGTAAAACCTCACGCATATAACATAACCCGAGGATATTAAAAGGAATGATTTATTCTTTACGCAGCATTCTGCTATTCTTTGAAAAAAGTTTATAATAGTTATCGTTTTCTAGGCTGTATTGATGGACGTCAAAAGAAGTAGAAAAATTATTTAACGTGAACGTTTCTGGGTAATTTTTGGGCTCGTTTATGCATACTTTAAATTATTAGGTCATTTAATTTTTGAAGTTTTATATAGTTTGCTGCCTTAATATTTTTATTGTCAGACAAAAAATAAATTAGCTGTCAGTGATACTTAAAAAAATATAAAGTACAGAGATGTTGGAGTTTTAAAATGGAAATATTACCTGTTGGCTACATGCCAAGGCCATTTTCTGCGTACAGACGTCAAGCTTGTTAATAAATTTCATTTTCGGCACGCGCCTAGCACGAGTCTTTTTCGTTACTAAACTGGCACGCGCCGAACGTACTTTGTACGGAGTAAGTTTCTAGCACTTTTGTGGCGCCATCTCGTGAGCAACTCATCACATAAATGTTTTTCGAAAGCTGTGTCGGGTACTATAATTTTAATAGCCGTACATAATGTTGACATTTACTGAACAATTATCATTACTGAATAATCAATGGTTCCTTGCTTGTTTAATATTTGAAAGACTGGCCTGCAAAAGGTAATTATTATCTTTTATTTTAGTCTAAACTATAATAATAAAATAACTTGTTTGTGTGTGTGATCGCCATAACTCCAAGAGGAAAGAACCTAGATACCCGAAACTTTGCACGCATACTAAGGGGATTCTGAGAGTGTGCACCTGGGTATTATTTATTTTATTTGACTCAAAAACATTTTGGCAAATATTTTGCCCTATAGCCTTTAAGCCCCATAATTCTGCTTCCTGAAGACCTATAGAAAATTATTATATTGTTTTCTAATTCTCACTTACTGATGTTACTTATGACAATTTTTAATAGCTTAAAACTGAGTTAAATTGTAATTTATATTTAATAGTTAAATAAATGCCGATATATATCCAATTTATGATATTTGCCAACAAGATTGATACACACAGTTTTCTTTTTTAATATAAATATATTTTAATATACAAACAATGTTAAAA